GTTTATTTATAAACTATAATTCATAAATTTTAAACTGTGGTAGACATTATTTCCAGAAAAAAGACTACATTTCAGACGTTTTTATTAAATCACGTAAACTGAGATGAAACTGTAGTCTTCTAAACAAGAAAATAAATTTGCGTCTACATTAGTACCTCTTACCTTAATTTGTACGTAGCTTACTTTACAGCAGAAATACGAAATAGTGCCTTAATTCATTATTCCATCTTAAAAGAGTCGCGGACTGTCCGCGTTTATATGTCCCGTTATGAAATCCTACGAAATGAAACGGTAATCACACAGAGTTTCAAATTCTATTTATCCTTTGATATCTCGTCCGAATTATGTTTAAAACCTCAGTTCCCACCTTTAAAAAACAAATTAATCACATCTAACAATTTCTACACTCTCTTTTTAAGAAATTTTCGTTGTATTTTCTTCACAAATCATACAAAACCCACACATGCGCTCTGCGGAAAAATCAGAATGTTTCTAAACGTTTAAACAGGTGGTAGCTTTAAACGATCAAATAACTCCAAGGCTGGTCATACATTGACAGACTTTATGCAACCCGAAAGATCGTTAGTGTTCACAAACCCCAACTATTTAACACTATTACAAGCCTTAACATCTCATTACTGACACAAATCTAATTCAGCTTACAAGTGGATTAAGATGGCGCATTATTGTCCGGAAACTTTTTTAAAACAACGCGGTTTTTCTTCTGATTAAAACCATAACTTGTTTATTATGTGTTTTGTAAGATTCTCACTGTCAACAGCGATTATTTCCTTAAACAGCGTTAACCAGTTGATCTTTTCAATGGTGAAGTGTGGTGTTTTCTTCGCGGTACGGACTGAATTCGTAAAAGTAAATCAGACTAGGGCTCGCGATTTTAAATGCCGGACTGCTGGCTAGAAGTCAGCACGCATCAGGAAGGTCCTGTGACCGGCCAACTCGACCAAGGTTTTCCGTGGTTTTCCTCAGTACTAGAGCAAATGCCGAGTTTGTACCCAAATTCCACGTTGCTCTGCATGCCTCCCAGTGTTAGCATTAAAATTCCGCTCTATAGTAGCCCCCCCCCCCACATTAAAGCAAATCTTTTTCCAAACTCCACCCCCAAAGCCAATATCAAAATTCAAAATTAACGCAAGGACCCTGATCAATCTCCCCCTTCTCCATTTCTTATCCCATCCTGTCTCCTAAATCCTTTGCCCTTACTAAACCTATTCATAACAGAAGGACGAGCGGGCAATGCCTGGGAACCTTCGTAGCCTCAAACCAACTTTCTCTCTCTCTTTAAATGGGTTAATAAAACTACTAAAGAACACAGTTTTTACCAAACACGTTTCAGAGTCGTCAAATATGACGTATGTAGAACAGAAGCCCCTTAATGCATTGTGCGTGGTCCTAAATGAGTATCAAGGTACACACAGACGGAAATTATCTAGGCATAAAAACATTCCGAGAGGTTAAGGCTACTGACTTGCTGCATGACCGTAGGGACACGGCCGAAAACTTATCGATTTCACTGCATGACGGGGTCCGTGCTAATGCTTCAACATCTTACAACGGCCGGTCCCAAATGTGTCACAACAAAGGCATATTGCGTGATCGCGTGGGAACGCACGGTCGATCATTTTTCACAGCACCTTGTCCAACATTCCATCTTGATAGGATTATTAGCACCGATAAGACGGTGCTGCCTTCTGTCGATTAATCGAGAAACGGTTCAGTGCCCAGTTTTGATCCAGTAAAAGGCAATGAACCCTTTTTCCGATCTGGACAATAATGCTTTCGTTCCTAGCGACTGCTGAAAATTCCAATTCGACATTTTCGTCCATCTTAAGCGTCCCACGACATATCTACAAAGGCAAGATTCTAATGACCATATACCGAACGTCACAGTCCCTTGGTTCGCACTCTTCTTTCGTATGTGGGACGTCCCCAGTCAAATTCTGAGATTTGTGCATTTATTTCGTACATTCAGACAAATGCAGGATACTACCTTTCAGGGTCATTATTCATTAACCATCCTATTATTCCTTACCGTAAGGTCGGGGCTACTGAGAGCATTGTTACATAAACTACAAACAATAACGTAATTATCATGTCCTTTGTATTTGTAAATACGCTCCACGCCTTAAAATTAAAAAATACAACAAATTCGTTTTAAGAATCGCAAAATTATCCAAACATTCCGCACTAAATAACAATGTGTCATGGCGCGCATACTTTGCAATGACCGAACCTCGCTCTGCGTCACTGTTCTTGGTTAGAAGCGTTGTGGTATGAAATAAACTCGCCCAGATGGCAGCAATTCTTGATAAGGGAAAACTTGAATGCAACTGAACAGAGTATCACAAAGTTTTGGTTCCAAGATTTCTTTTTTTGTTCTTAACAAAGTTCTTTTGTGATGATAAGCTACCACGGTAGAGGGTCCGTCGCGACACTTTATCTTAAGAAGCTGTTTTTTCACACTGGGCACGTATCTCCCCCCACCCCCTGCAACAAACTGAGAAATAACTCTTCTGAAGACGCGTCAAAGCCGAGTTTGAGGTCGTGGTGGGGGGTTGAACTGGACAACTCAACAGCGAATGCCTGCCGTGTCATGAGCATGCGCGTTAAGTCCTGCCCCCCACCTAATTTCAAACAAACATAAAACAATTTGCGCAACTATACCTTCTTCTGCCACTACTGTCCTCTCTCTGTTTGGCTGTTCAATATTTCACAATTCCGAATTTAATTATTCTTTCCTGTTCTAACTTTCGAACGTTGAGTCAAAAACTCATACGTCGCTTTCCCGCCTCGGTCCCTAAAATGTTCCTCCAAAGCATCCTCAAATCTCAGATAGCTAACCCGAGCACTAATATCGCTTTTATTTGAAAAAATCTCACTAACACGTTCTCATTCTACAAAAACTATTTTACGTAACCTGTCTTGCTGTTCTCTCAGCTGGAAACAGTAACGAGGCATTTATCACTCTTCACTGTGTGAACACAATATAAAACATTTGTGTTCCTTTTCAGTAAATGCAGAATTACAATCAGGTAAAATTTGTTGTTCTCGCAACACATTGGAAAACTTTTATGAATTAACTATTTAAAGCCAAATGGTTAAGCATATGCATCACCTACACCAACAATAAATAACTCTAAAATTTTCTAACACCGTATTTATTGGTTTTGCGTGATTCTCGGAGTCAAAACAGTGATTATTTCCTTAAAAATCATCAATCACTCGATCTTTGTACTGGAGTAAATACATGTTCAAATAAATTCTTCCATGCAAACTCAATTTTCCTGCACGTTCCTCGCCCCATGTAGCACTAATCTTTTCCAGAACAGAAATTCACGAAGTGTAAAACGGCGAGCGAAATGCAAGAAATAGGGGGTAGAAATGTATTTTCTACTACGTACAAATAACTCGATGACTCACGTTGCAAATGAAATGGTTCTTCGGTTCCCTAACAAGAAATAAACACTTCAAGATTACTAGCGCGATGTCTGCCCAGACCGGGGCCTACCTCCCAGACTCTACCGGCAGAGGCCCGTGCGCTTCCCGTCAACCGTTAGCGTCCGGTTCTCCTCGACTTCATCTCGTCACATTATTAGCGACTGCACAAAAACATCCACTCCCCGCCCCCCAGAGCAACCATAACAATGTATCTACCATCATCTGTAGTTGCCTCCTTGTCAAGACATTACCACCACAACAAAAACTGTCCTTTATTCAACAATGGAGACGAACCGATGACACGGCAGAACTAGCATCGTGTCTGTCAATATGCACTCTCTTCAGCACTGCACATCATGTTTAATAAAGACCACGGTATACTTGAAATGGTCACGTCTTGGCTCTTACTAACCTTTCTAGTGTGATAAAACCTAACCGACAACGGCTAGCATCCAAAAAAACAAACAAGGAATTGGGGGTTGACAACTCGGGCACTTAGTTTTCTTGTGGCTGCAAACCCTTATAAGATCTTGCAATGTCACTCTTATTAACGAGATATTTTTAACAGCTTCGGTTCTTGAACTAACTTCCTGACAGTCTCCAATTTGTATGTGCTGCGGTTTGTACCTAGGAACATTCCAACGGAGATTAAACCTATTACATAACTGGGGTGGACGCACGTGAAAACGTTTTCCCAACAAACACATAACGCGAAGCAAAACCGAGTAACGCCGCCCATCAAAATGTGCATTAGTCATCAGTTCAGAAATGAACACCAGTTTCTGTCGATTGTAGACTTTTGGTTTGCAATGCCGTGTAGTCTTGTCCGCGTCGCTTCCATCTTCACGATACGGTTCACAGAAACGCTAGTAAGCCGCCTACAAGTCTACATAACGTCACAAAGCAGCAGTAACAACAGACATCTTCACCACCGTGAGAAACTTAAAACACTTTTTGCCTACAGTACGAAAACGGTAGTTTCCTTAACAACGATAATAAAACCAGACACAGTTAGCGTGTCAATGTTATCCACAAAATGGGGTTCTTCTACACTGAAGGGTTCGGAGACGCCTTCCTGGTTTAGAACTCAGTACGACGCGGTTATTTCCAATTTACACATCCGAGGCAATTCGAACGGAGTAACACAGTTCAACTCATTTATTCTGGCCGAAAGCGTATTCACACTTTCTAAAGCAGGCAATAGCGAAATGCGAAGGTAACAAAATTAAATCGGACCTCAATAATACCGCCAGAAATTATCATAATTATTATAAACTTATTTACTCTTTATCGGGCAACAGGATAAACGCATACTTGTCAGTCCCCTACGTTCGCAAATGCGATATCACAGTTTTCTGACTCACCGTAGCTGAGAGGAGATCGCTTGCACACAGTGTTTGTACATAGCTGTGACCTCGACCCAAACTCCGGCCGAAGGCTGAGAGTCCACCTTCCGCTCGCCGCAAACAATGCGCACTTTACCCAGTGTACACAACACTCCAAACACACAATTAGCCTCACGATTTGCACAAACACCAACTTACCGGCTTGCAAGTCGCTCGACAGCGCAAACATTCGTCCTCTTGGAACACTCCAATTTCACTCTTCTGAATTTTCCACGAAAAGTTACACTATTCTTGAGTCTACACACTTTCGACTGGGCACAAACACAGATTAATCCACAAATCGCACTGTCCTTAATGTCCCGCCACTGTGACACTACATGTTACGACACAAACTGTTCGTAATTAAATCTGCGATCACTGCGACCATTAACCAAGGTTCAAACTTTATTTAACTATAAAATACCACTGTTCACGCTACATTCGTAACAAATAATTAATTGCAGTTCAACTTTCACCTCTTTCTAAGTGAAAGAGCTGCAACTACCTCAGCATGAAATGTGATTTACACAGGGAGTGTCTTGACAGAACTTCATGTTATGGGTGTAACACTATACCACCAAGGCACCGCTAGGCCGGCTCGGGGCACAACTTCACGGCAGGCGGCGTGCGCGGCGAGATGCACCGTTAAGGCTCACTTGCTGGGCTAGTCAGAATAGTCCACTCGCCCATAAAGACTCTGGGAAGGGGCTCACCCCTGCCACTACGATATGCCGGTCAGGGTTCGTCGCTCCGTCAGGCGAATGAAGAAGAGAGTGGAGGGGAGGGGCTCGTGTTGTCCCTTGGCTATAGGCCCTACAACGTGCTGCCGTCTAGCGGGCGGCAAACGTTAACTCACAAGTATCAAGGGTACAGGTGGTCCCAACATACGTAACCGCTCTGCTTTTGACTGCATGCCTTCATCTTACAAAAAGATGCCGTCCAGAAGAATGCAATACATAATGCGATGAAAAAAGGGAAAAAATAAGTGATATGGTGCAAGTGAACGTGATAAAAATATAAAAGAATAACAAATAGTGACACTTGGTTCTGAACGAAATGAGACATGCCTAATGAAGGCGAATGAAAGCTCGGACCAAGAAAGAAAGTGACACATAAAGAAGAAGGAAATATTCTTGGAAAGAACACAATACGAATACAAGAGTTTAGTGACAAAGAGAGCTGTAATGAGCACAGGAAGAAGAAGCCGAGCAGGGACTGTGTCGAGAGCGGGTGAAAAATACACAAACAGGGATTGTGGAGCCAGTCAGACACAACAAGAAAATATCCTGTTGGAAGACAGGACGGCCGTGTTGTATTCTGGTGGACTTGAAACACAGACCTCGAGCAACAGCAAGAGAGCTGCGATTTAGCATTTAGAAACTGTTAATTCGTCATGCTTATGTGCAAGATTTTGAACCGAGAGGTAACTTACCCAGCGGCTATAATGGTCGTTTCAGTAAATGCTGCAGAATAGGCAGACTACTTCTTTAAAAAGTCAAATTAGTACCACATTTTAAAGTTATTCACGTATGACACATCGTCCTGTCCCTTTCCTGTGTAGTATAATGAATTGTGCCTTTGGCTAACGTGAAACCCAAGCCTGAACTACGAAAAGGCATTGCCACAGACTGAGGCGGCTTATATTAAAATGATTCTACATTAATTACGTTTCTACAACGACCCTAATAATAGAGGCAGTAAACACCTCTGAAACGTCTGTGAATTTATACCAGACTAGGCACCGCAACATCCCATAACACAGACATTTCCATACCGACGCACTTGGTGGCGATTTGCCTCCACGCCTCTCATACGCCTTCACGGCGCCAAGGTCACTGTGATTGGCTGTCTCTACTTTTCACACAGAGTAATATTAACTGGGAGATTAAACAGAGGAATATGATGGGAGAAGCATGTAGAATGAAGACAAAACCTGTAAATCGGAATGTCTGAGACTAAGCTGGGTCAGAGAACTTTCCTGTGATCCTGGAGATCGGATTCAACCAGCTCATGTAGGGTAAAATCAGGGGTTTTAAAAACAATGTGACGTAATTATGGTTTCTAAAGACAGCAAAATTATTAATCAGAAGTTGGGAAAAAAAAGCTACAAGAATGTTTCTCAGCTGATGAAATATTACCCTAGACGATACGGAAACTCAGCGTTAGCGGAATATTTCTGTGACAAGATGGAGATATAAGAAATGAGAAAAAAATACCGTTAAAGTGTGAAGATGACGGTCATCTTTGATTTTAACAGAGCATGCAAAACAGTCAAACACAGTTTTCTTCAGCCGCCCTCTCAGTACAGACGCTTCTACGATGACTCAATCGCTAAAAAAACCTAGTCCAGGAAAACAAGCTAAGTCAATGTCACTGTGCCAAGTGCCAGATGATGACACTCGGTGATAATTCCAGTAAGATGTTTATCGGTAAAGTTATAGACTATGGTATGAACTGCAATGAGAAAAATAAGTTAGCAAGCTGAAGGAGCCTTCCTGGAAGTTTCGTAATTGACAAACTACAAGCCTCTTTCACAGCACCCAAGGTTCGTCACAGCGTCCATCGAATCTTAAGCCATTGCACCCGGCCCATTTACAACTTCTCTACGATCCATTTCAACATTTCCCGTTATTTACTCCTCGGTATCTCAAGTTGTCTCTTTCCGTTACATTTTCAGTCTAAATTTATTTACAGACATCTCACAAGCCTGTTGAATGTCATAACAATCTCATAGGCATAATTATTGATCTACTCGTCAGAATAATATTATATTAGTGGGATGTATTATAAAGGTTATCACATATTCTTCGTTAATAAATGCACGAAAGCGGTAAATGTTTACAACGTTATTTTTTGTCGTTGACAGAGGGTTAGAGAGTCAGTATAAAATCCCATAGTACATAATTCAGGTGGGCAAAGAAAGGCAATACAAATACAGGCCATGTTTTAACAAAGGAATGTTATCATCTCATTTCGGAACGCTGGCTCTAAACGCCGTTTAGCAAATTCCTTACGTGACTCCGATAATATTTTTCTTACTCCGTTATCCACACAGAACGGAGAATTGATCCCGTGGTGAAATAAATTGTAGCTATTTAATCATAAATAATGTTTTAACCACTTAAGTTAATTTCACGGCGCCGAGTAATTTTACATGGTTTTACGTAATTTTGAAAGTCATTCTCTCACGTTAAGGCAAGACAACGGACTGAGGGTGTTTGAGAACAGGGTGCTTAGGAGAATATTTGGACTAAGAAGGATAAAGTTGTAGGAGTCTTAAGCTAAGTTCATAATTTATACTCTTAGTCAAATATTAATTATCATGTAGAATGCTTGGGATAATTTAGAAATATTTACAAAAATTTTGTCGGGAAACATAAACACAAAAGACCACTTGGTAGACATCGGCGTGGATGGAAGGAAGACTCTAAGAGCCCCAAGAAAACATGGAAGGAGATGTTGAGAGAATTCATTTTGCACACGAATGGGTCGCGGGTTATTATTGTGGAAACTTCCGGTTTCATTCGCGGTGGAATGATTCTTGACTAGCTGAATTCTTTCGACGGTAGTCTTTGGGGATAACCTTATCCAGGGGTGAAGAATTCTGCAACACCGCCAAGGGATGGATTTCCTAGTGGGGCGAATTTCCCTAAGTCGCTAGAAACTTTCTGGTACTTCACCAACCGCCCAAGGGATGTATTTCCACGGGTGAGGGCAGGGGTGGAAAATTTTCGTTATCTATGTTAGCCTGACTAACGCGATTAAAAAAAAACCCAAATAATATAAAGTATTTTGTCTTACTTTCGTGGTTCAGCTGTACTCCATACGCTGAAACATAGTAGAAACGATCGGACAGAATATCTTAGTCACTTAGTTGAGGCTTACAACGCCTGGCTGGCTGCAGCTGGCTAACGATGCATTTTGTCCGATAGTGTGCGTTTTTATAATCATCTGCGAAGTACTTGTCACATTTCGAAATGATGTCATTACGATCAAGAATCCTGCATCTTAAAACTACTCCTAATTTGAGAACGTGGGAATCTTCTTTAAACTGCTTTAGTAATATCGAAAGAAACCGAAATTACAAACAAAGTAAACGCAAAATTTTCAGATAAGACTGGCCCCCTTTTTTTCTGTGAGACCCTAAAATATACTCTGCACGAGACTAGGCAAACTTTGGGGGCATCAGACCAAACATAGGAAGCGAACAATGAAAATTGTGCGTAAGTGAAGTCAGCCAGCGTTATAGAAACTGAGGTGGGGGGGGGGGCAGTGATGTTTGGTTACTTCCCCTCACCTACTATGGGTTCTGAGATGAGTTTGTGTGGGGCCACCATATTACAGCATTCAAAAAATCTCTTTCTTCACCGTGACAATACGAATGTTCACAATGCATTGACAGGAAACTGCATTAACATGAAGACAAGTTTCCCCCCCCCCCCCCCCCCCCCCCCATCCTCTAGATTCTATAGGATAATCGTATCTCAATTTCAAAGAGCAATAAATCACTTTCTACTCTTGTTCACTTATAAGTGTCCGAAACGAAACGACCTTTATGCACTGTTTCTCCCCACGCGTCGGGTTCGTGTGACGGTGGCTTATTAAAAGGAAAATAGTTCTCAGCAGGCCTCGCTAAATTATCCTGGCTGCTTTAACCAGTGTCAATAGAAAAAAGAGTGAAAGCTTTGGGGAACACTTTTTTACAAAATTGAAAAATCTAGATAACAAACATAAATAAGTCGACGTTGGTTTTCTGGGTTGTTACGCCGTGTAGCCTGGTAGGAGTTTTCCGACGTTATCGCCCTGATGATAGAGGCAGCAGGCACCCATGAAAAGTTCGGTAAGCGTCCACAAGATTATATGGCCTAACATCCCAGAAGACATATCTTCACTACAAATGGCCACATTCGTCCGTTATCATGAAATTGTTATTTTTTTGTTTGTTTTAAAATGAAAATGCAGAACTGTGAAGGAATAGCACAAGCCTACAAAGTTACAGAAAGTACAACTTCGCATGTATTTCAACACAAAGGGTAGATCATAAAATGAGGTAATTTGAGAAGAGGATACTAAGAAGAATATCTGAATTTTTGATGGATTAAATGACAACATATAGAGAAAAATGCATTATGAGGAGCTTCATAATTTGTAAACTTAATCAAAGGTCAATGATTGGAAAGAATGCAAAATACCTACATTTCAGATGGAAAACCTGACGCTCAGATACCACTTTGGGGACCAGGTTGTACGTAGGAGGATAATATTAAAATGGGTATTGAATAAGGTGTAATAATGTGGACTGGACTGATGTGGACTGTTGTGAACACAGTCAGGAACCTTCTGGTTTTATGAAAGGTGAGGAAATCTTTGGGTAGGGAAACGACTACCACGTTCTCAGGGAGGGATCTGCTCCATGGGGTTAATCAACTGTGGTCATGTATTCGGACGATCCATTATTTTGCAGATTGTAGGAATGAAGCACTCTGAAGCTAAATTTCCCCACTGAAGATCAAGTTTTAAACGGAGGTGGGAGATAATGTGCTAAATTATAGCGGACACTAGGAACTGGCACATTAAGTTTTTATTTGTCTACAGTA